CTACCCCACCACGAAAGGGAACAGAGACCGAGACCAGCCCAGCCTCTGGCTCCATTTCTGAGTGACAGTCGCTGCATCCATCTTATCGGCCACTCAGTCATTGTCACTTCAAGCCTAAATTGTGAGCCCCCCCATCCTCATGTGATATCAGGAGGAGGCAGATTGGGTAATACGCACAAAGATGTGTCTATGTTGTTGCTGGTCGTGGGTCCTAACAGAAGTTTATAACTTCCTCCTGCTCCCCAGCTTGTCTGGGCTCTTCATCTGGTGGGGAGACCCACATTCATTCCTGAGGAGCCTGAGTCCTTTGGGGTCCTGCCTTTTTTAAAAAATATCACCCCGCGTTGTGGGGGCGACTGGAATATGATGATTAGTGTAATTCATACTAAGGTCTGAGTGACTAATGAGCCACCCGTTACATGAAGGTGTTTTTTGATTTCATGAAGGTTTTTATTGATTTTAGAGAGAGGACGGGAGAGGGAGAGGGAGATAGAAACATCAGTGGTGAGAGAGAAACATCGATTGGTTGCCTCCTGCACGCCCCCCATTGGGAGTTGAGCTCGTAACCCGGGCATGTGCCCTGACCAGGAATCGAACCATGACCTCCAGGTTCTTGGGTCAGTGCTCAACCACTGAGCCACGCTGGCCGGGTGATCCTGCCTTTCTGATTACTGGATTTTTCTGACAGTTTTTCCACTGGACGTGCCAGGGGGATCCCTGACACAGATGTCCCTGCCCCTCTGGGCAGCAGCACCCCAGTCTGTCCCTGGAAAGGGAACCGTTTACCCCGCCGGCAGCCGGCCCCTTTCATGAACAGTTATGGTGCCTCCCAGGTGGAAGTGTCCCCTCTAGAAACAACATTTCCTGACCGCAGGCCCGGAGTTGGGGTTGGGGGGTAGGGAGTAGAGGTGTTGCAATACCTTTTCGCCCTGCGTTGCTGGGCCTTCTGAGGATGTGGGGCCCTCCCACAGGGCAGCTGCTTTGGGCAATGGGCCACGGTGAGGTGGGCGAGAGCCGTGAGCTCTGCCCTGGTCTGAAGGGGTGTTGGTCCTGAGGCTTGGATGGGGGTCCTGGGAGAGGCCTCTGCGCAGGGCAGGCGGAGCCACAGCCCGCACACCTGTCCTTCCAGAGTGGACAGATCAGTGTCCTGCACGGAGAAGGGCCGGTGCAGTCACCCACCCACCAGGGGCCGCATGGGCGCGGGCCTGGGCTCTGCGTCTGGCAGGGCGGGTCCTCAGTAGTGGCCTCTGTCCCTGCCCCTGTGGCCACTTTGTGTGTGGCCTCCTGGAGATGGGAGCGAGGTGGCCACCTTGGGCTCCGAGGCCTGGAGGTCACCACGGGTAGGTCCAGCTCCCTGGACAGGGGGACTGATTGGCTGGGATGACACATGGGATAAGTGAAGGGCGAGTGTCATTTTTGCAGCGGAAGGTGTGCTGATGGTGGAGGAGGGAGAAGGGAGCCTGAGGGAGTCCTTGGGAGGGGGCGGGGGGACCCTTTGGTTCTGACATGTGGGATGAGGGGAAGGAGAGGACGTGTGTGCATGTGGGTGCGTGTGTGTAGTGTGTGCGCCTGCATGTGTGCGCACGGGGAGGGTGCAGACTTCCCATGCAGCTTGCTTCTCTGAGGGAGGGTGAGGCCAGAGCAGAAAAAAGGGGGGGGGAGAGGGGCATAGCATAGCCCCCAGAGGGTGGGACAGCTCCCACTGCCAGAGCCCAGTGCAGGCTGCTCTCTGGGAGGGACAGAGTGTCTGCCGGGCTGGGGGTCCGGGACAGCGGGACGGCTGAGTCTAAGCCAGGGCTGTGACCGGGAGCCCAAGGGGGCTCGCAGCGCAGGGGCTCTGCCGTTGGCCCACCTGCCCTGGCAGGTGTGAGGTGTGGGGACCCTGAGGGCCGGCCGGCGCTCAGTGTCCCCTCTCTCCCAGCCGCTGCGGCTCCGCAGGCTGCTGCGGCCGTTCTTCCTGCTGCAGAACTCCTCCATGATGAAGAAGATGCTCAAGTGCATCCGCTGGTCGCTGCCCGAGATGGCCAGGTGGGCTGTGCCGCTCGCAGGCTGGNACTGCCCGAGATGGCCAGGTGGGCCGTGCCGCTTGCAGGCTGGGCGGGCACCTGGGGAGCCCCCCGGGTGCTTTGTCCCTCTGGCTCCCTCCCCATCTTCTGCGCTCTCACCCTTGGTCCTGGCAGCCCCTCAGTGGCCCTGTGCAGCTGAGGGCTGCCGAGTCCTGTGGGTGCCCCCCGTCCCCACTTGTCCTCCTGCCCCTCAGTCCCCTACCCTGTGGCTCACGTGGCTGACCCCTTACTGCCCAGCCCCAGGTGGATGGCAGTAGGTTTTCGCCTCAGAGTCCCTGGGGTCCTTGGACCCCCCGGGATGTGCCCCTGGGTTGTAGATTGTCTCTGCCAAAGAAAGAGGCTCGGTTAGGGCAGGACCCCACGCCGGGTGCTTGGCAGGCTGTGGGGCGGAGGAGGGGACCTGCCCCAGGGGCCGGCTGCAGGGAGCTCCCTGGGCGGCCAGGCCCCTGCACCCCCATCCTGCTTGGCCTGTGGGGTCTGCCCAGTGCTGAGCGCCCGCGTCTGTCCTTCCAGCGTCGGGCTGCTGCTGGCGCTGCACCTGTGCGTCTTCACCATGTTCGGGATGCTGCTCTTCACGGGCGAGAAGGTACCCACCTCAGCCGCTCCGCCCCGCGCGGGTGATGGACGGGCGGGCCCTCTGTTAGTCCACCTCGTGGGAACTCTGCTGGGTAGTTCCTGGGCTGACAGAGAGGAGGACCCCTGCCCACCTCACAGCAGGGCCCGTGGTGGCCCACCTGCCATCCAGTCCAGGTGTCTGTCTTCAAATGGCCGTGGTGTCCCACTGCTCCCCTTCAGGGCACCGTCTGCCGGGCCTCCTGGGCTCGGGTAGCTCTGCCTCTGCTTGGCTCCCGCCAGGCACTGGCTGGGCTTTCTCTGTACCCCTCCTAGACGGGCCCCTCAGATTGACACTTGGAGTCATCTGGATGGCCCACCACCTGTCCCCGTCGCAGCACCTGCCTGCCTGTCTGTCTAGCAGATGCTTCTCACCACAGCCCTCTTCTCCAGCGTGGGCTTTGCCCTCCCCTCCTGCGTCCCCTCTCCTCCAGCCCCTCACTGCTTCTGGCCCCAGGCAGCTTGTTGCTTTGTGGAGGTGCCTGCCACCGGTCACTCGGCCGGCCGTCAGCGCCTGCCTTGGCCCCCACCCCACCCTGCACATCTGTGGTCCGTCTGTCCTCACTTCCTGGCCAGGGTCGCTGCCCTCCTCAGCGCTGGAGCTGTCCTATGTTTTTGTTTTCTTTTTTAAAAATATGTCTTTATTAAGGGGGAGGGAGAGAGAGAAACATCAATGATGAGTGAGTCATTGATCAGCTGCCTCCTGCACACCCCCGACTGGGGATCGAGCCCACAACCCAGGCACGTGCCCTGACCAGGAATCAAACTGTGACCTCCTGGATCCTAGGTCGATGCTCAACCTCTGAGCCACACGGGCTGGGCTGTCCTGCGTTTCTGTCCTGGGAACCTGGCCAGGGCTGGACTTTCTTAGATTGTGACAATGTCTGGGGGTTGGTGCTGTGCTGCCCACGAGAGAAGGGTGAGGACTGTGCCTTCTCCCCCGGGTGGGAAGAGCCGCTGTGTGTGTATCTGGGTGGGACCAGCTGACTCTTAGGCCCCAGGAACCGTCCAGTGGCGTCTCCCTTGCTGCTGTCTCCCGGACCCCAGGACACGTGGGGTGGCCTCTGACCTGGGAACATGAGTGTCCCGAGGTGCCCAGAAGGATTGGCTCCTTTGCTGGTTTTGTTTTCTGCCCACGGAGGGGCCTGGGCTCAGGAGAGTGGCTGCGTGGCTGTGGGTAGAGGGCTGTGTGTGTTGGTCGTGGCGTGGGTCCGGCTTCCTTCTGGAGTTCAGGAGAGAGGGTGACAGTGGCCTGCCTTTGTGGGTTCCTTGTCCCCAGCCCCCTCAGGCCCTCTCCAGCCTAACCCAGAGCACAGGTCAGGAATGGGTGGGATCCTCACCTCGGACAGAGTGAGAGAGCCCAGGCACGGTGCCTCCTGTCCGTGGCTGTGCGAAGCCACAGCTGTGAGCGCCACACGTGTCTGAGTCCAGTGAGTCCCACACAGACTCTAGGGCAGGTGAGGCCCCTGAGGGGGGAGAGCGGGGACCGTCCCAGTAAGGCCGCTGCAGTTCCAGCTCCTCTCTGTCCTCTTTGGAAGCCTGGTGGGGGCCCTGAAGCATGGCCTCCGCTCCTCCCGCCCGGCTGGCCTCAGAGCTTTCTCTGAAAGCTCTCCGGTTGGCACCTGCGTGTGGTCTCCTGGATGCTGAGCCCTGACGCTGTCAGCTGGGCCGCCCCAGAGCTTTCTGCACAGTTCCAAGCAGGCCTGGTGTCGGTGCGGGTGTGTGGCTTCCCTGGGCGCTGGCTCTCGGGCCTGGAGGCCTTGAGTTCGGTGCCATCCAGCCTTGAGTTCAGAGCCTGCTGGGAAACGGGGAGATGCAGGGGGGGCGGGGGTCAGCGGCTGAGCCCACAGTGGGCGTCCCCGCCTGGCTGGGCCGGGCCTGGAGCTCTGGCAGCCTGCGGCCCTAGCTGGTGGGAAGTGGGCCTGCTTGGCTCCTCAGAGCTGCCCCATCTGCTCCCAGCAGGGCGATGGGCAGGACAGGGAGAGGCTGACCTACTTCCGAAACCTGCCGGAGGCCCTGACCTCACTCCTGGTGCTGCTGACGACGGCCAACAACCCCGATGGTGGGTGAGCGGGGCTGGGTGGGCGCTGTGGCGAACCAGTGGGTGGGGGAGGTTGGTCCCTGCTGGCCGAGGGCGCTGCGCAGCAGGCGGACATGCAGGGTGGCCTTGCACCCCCCTTCCTTTCTCGTTTTTCTTTCCCCCCTTTTCCCCCTTTCCTGGTTTTNCCAGGGCTGGACTTTCTTAGATTGTGACAATGTCTGGGGGTTGGTGCTGTGCTGCCCACGAGAGAAGGGTGAGGACTGTGCCTTCTCCCCCGGGTGGGAAGAGCCGCTGTGTGTGTATCTGGGTGGGACCAGCCGACTCTTAGGCCCCAGGAACCGTCCAGTGGCGTCTCCCTTGCTGCTGTCTCCCGGACCCCAGGACACGTGGGGTGGCCTCTGACCTGGGAACATGAGTGTCCCGAGGTGCCCAGAAGGATTGGCTCCTTTGCTGGTTTTGTTTTCTGCCCACGGAGGGGCCTGGGCTCAGGAGAGTGGCTGCGTGGCTGTGGGTAGAGGGCTGTGTGTGTTGGTCGTGGCGTGGGTCCGGCTTCCTTCTGGAGTTCAGGAGAGAGGGTGACAGTGGCCTGCCTTTGTGGGTTCCTTGTCCCCAGCCCCCTCAGGCCCTCTCCAGCCTAACCCAGAGCACAGGTCAGGAATGGGTGGGATCCTCACCTCGGACAGAGTGAGAGAGCCCAGGCACGGTGCCTCCTGTCCGTGGCTGTGCGAAGCCACAGCTGTGAGCGCCACACGTGTCTGAGTCCAGTGAGTCCCACACAGACTCTAGGGCAGGTGAGGCCCCTGAGGGGGGAGAGCGGGGACCGTCCCAGTAAGGCCGCTGCAGTTCCAGCTCCTCTCTGTCCTCTTTGGAAGCCTGGTGGGGGCCCTGAAGCATGGCCTCCGCTCCTCCCGCCCGGCTGGCCTCAGAGCTTTCTCTGAAAGCTCTCCGGTTGGCACCTGCGTGTGGTCTCCTGGATGCTGAGCCCTGACGCTGTCAGCTGGGCCGCCCCAGAGCTTTCTGCACAGTTCCAAGCAGGCCTGGTGTCGGTGCGGGTGTGTGGCTTCCCTGGGCGCTGGCTCTCGGGCCTGGAGGCCTTGAGTTCGGTGCCATCCAGCCTTGAGTTCAGAGCCTGCTGGGAAACGGGGAGATGCAGGGGGGGCGGGGGTCAGCGGCTGAGCCCACAGTGGGCGTCCCCGCCTGGCTGGGCCGGGCCTGGAGCTCTGGCAGCCTGCGGCCCTAGCTGGTGGGAAGTGGGCCTGCTTGGCTCCTCAGAGCTGCCCCATCTGCTCCCAGCAGGGCGACGGGCAGGACAGGGAGAGGCTGACCTACTTCCGAAACCTGCCGGAGGCCCTGACCTCACTCCTGGTGCTGCTGACGACGGCCAACAACCCCGATGGTGGGTGAGCGGGGCTGGGTGGGCGCTGTGGCGAACCAGTGGGTGGGGGAGGTTGGTCCCTGCTGGCCGAGGGCGCTGCGCAGCAGGCGGACATGCAGGGTGGCCTTGCACCCCCCTTCCTTTCTCGTTTTTCTTTCCCCCCTTTTCCCCCTTTCCTGGTTTTCCATATTTTCTGCTTTTTTCTTTTCATTTACTTTCTCGCTCCCTCCTTCTAGCTCTGTTCCCTGTCTCCTTTTTGCCCGTCTCTCCTGACTCCTCTGAGAAGCTAAAAACTGTTCCCTACGAGGTGACGCATGGTGGGGTGTTCAGGGGGCCCCCCTGGTAGCCTCCTCTGGGGCCCAACCGTTTTCCCAGCTGTGGGGTGCGGCCCAGTGGCCATACGGGTGAGGCCTGGGGTCTTCGGTGACCATGGTGCTCCCTTCGGGTTGCCAAGGGGCTTGTATGTGCTCCGGCTCGGCTGCAGCCTGGCCTCCTGGGCTGGTTTTTTCACCTTGGGCTCGGGATGGTCACCAGACTTAGAGACCTTCCTAGGAGGGGAGCCTTTGGCTGCTGTCCCAAGAGCTGTGCAGCCGGACCCTGAGCGCTGTTCCCACATGTCCCGAGAGTCCTAGCGGGTCACCCAGGGAGAGCCAGACTTTCATTCTGTGTATGTGAGGGGGCCGCAGGGAGGCAGATTCAGCTCAGCATAAGGGCTGAGCATCCTCGAAAGGTAGTGAGCTCCCCGTCACCAGGAGTGTGTCAGCAGAGGCGTGAGGGTCGGAGTTTGGACCAGCAGGCCTCCCAGCTCGCCCAAAGCAGAGCCCTCTCTGCGGAGAAGGCGGAGGGTGTGGTCACAGCGGGAACGGGGCCAGAGCCGGGCCGTGAGCGAGTTTGTTTCTCCAACCCCTTCCTCAGTCATGGTTCCCGCGTATTCCAAGAACCGGGCCTACGCCATCTTCTTCATCGTCTTTACCCTGATCGGTGAGTCCCGGCGGGTCTGCAGGGGTCCCGGGGTGAGAGTGTCCCCTGTGACAGGATCCTAAACGGTCAGGGGTGGGTGTGCTGCCCGACCCTGCGACCACCTCAGTGAGGCCCCCTCCCTCACTTGGACCACTGTCCCCAGCGCCCAGGGCTGGGGATCAGGACAGGGAGGTGGGGGGGTGAGGTGCGCAGGCCCCACCCCCTGCTCGAGGTTGTCCGGGCCCCTTTTGCTGGTCCCCCCGGGGTTTGCTGTGCGTGTGATCCTCTGCGCCTTTGGGCGCCGCCCCAGCCCTAGGCCCCCAGAGCCGCTGCTCCCCACTGACCGGGGCGTTTTCTTCCCGAAGGAAGCTTATTCCTGATGAACCTGCTGACGGCCATCATCTACAATCAGTTCCGGGGCTACCTGCTGGTGAGCCAGGCTGCTGCGCCCCCAGGCCCCCGCGCTGAGGCCTCCCGAGCCCCCGGTGTGCGAGGGCCGCCAGGCCCCGTGGGGTCCACTGTGCTCTCTGCACTGCTCTCTGTCTCCCTCTTGTGGACGAGCTGGAGCTGTGTCACATCCTGCGCCCTCCTGGTCCCCACCTGTCAGATACCGTCCCCAGGGCCACCCAGGCCCTTCCTTTGCCCCCTCCTCTGAGGGAAGGTACCAAAGATTGCAGCTTCCAGGGCAGCTGACCCCAAGCCCTCTGTGGGAGAGC